AGCAATTAAATGATATTCAATTATAACTTAAGTTTTTCGTTAGTTTGCTATACTGGTTATGTGTGAATGAACACAATTTTGTTTTTCCACATTTTTAATCCATGTAGTAGATACAAATATATAACATGTGTCAATATCTTACTATTTCCAACTTAATACACACGAAAGTCGAATTGACACAACACATTAGGTTATGAAATAAATGTCTGGATTGGTTCAGAAAGAACACCCTTGTTACATTTTAGTTGGTGATCAATTAATCTACTTTTGTTACCTAAATATGCGATCCAGGGGCGATTTTGTAAGGAGAAATTAGTGGTCAAAGGAATTATTATTGTCCTAGTTTTTTAGAAAAAGTCATTCCCTGAAAAGCTGTGTTCATTCAGTCAAGTAAAGAAGGTTGGCTGAGTTTAGAATCCGGCTTACCAGGGCTGTCAAAATTTGTTTTTGCCTCCTTCTCAAAAAAAAAATAAAATAAATAAATAAAAATTAAACTTTAACCTTCAAATTCCGAATGCCTTTAACTATGCTAGATGTAACTATGGTTACTTCGGTGAGGTAACTCACCATTTTTTCATTAGCATAAAGGAAAATCTACTGACAGATAAAAATTCTCATGTTCACCAGCACTTATGTGCCTTTCCAAATTGTGAACGAAAATGTTCAGTTCAGTGTTTTGTTATTATACTTAATATCTACATTACTGTCCTTAGAAGTGTTACCTTCAGCTAGAGGTTTTTGTGACTTAAGTTTGCTTTAAAACCTTGCTAGTTTTTGGTTAGTGAGGTAAGGAAAGGAATTGCATTGTAGAGTACTTAAAAGTTTTTTTGTCCTGTTTTAAACTGGGAGTTGTGCTGTTTGTTTGTTGAAAAACATAACCACATCTATGGAACTCCAGAACTGTCTCATAGTACTTTTTTCTCTTATATTGGTTTTATTTCATTATACTCTGTGCCTATGTCTTTATACTCAATGCTATTTTCATGATATAGGGTGCAGGTCTCATTACATTTGGTTCAAACACCGTTAGATCTGGTGCTTTTCCAATATGTTCGGTTTACACACCATTACATTTGGTTCTTTTTTCCATTATATTTGGTTCCTACACTGGCACAAGTATGCTATATAAAGAGACTTCAGTTTAAAGCCACAGCACTAGCTCTTGTAAAAAAGCTACTCACAACTGATGAAGGATTCAAATGTTTGGTTCCAAAACCAGTATTGCATTTAAAAGCTTGACAAACAGTTCTCTTTAGAACTCCAGCCAAGTGCCCACATTATCACTGATCAAGTCATCTAAAAGACCACATAATGATGACGGTCCAACTACAGAGACTCCAGCCACAAAACCAGCTCCTAAAAAACACAAAGCTGACAAGGGTGGCAAATCCATCCAGAATTGCCATACTACACTGGAGACCAGATGGGTTAAATGTAAACTGTCACTCCAAGTCCTGAGAAAACATGCAGTATTCCAGACGGCCTTAGACCAGATCAGTCACAGAGCCCATAGGAGCTGCTTACCATCATGATCAAACAACAGGAAAAAAATTAGCAGCAAACAACCAGGTCATTAAAGACCAGCGGCACCCACTAGAGAACCTGTGCTTGACAAACAAGCAAAGTTCCCAGGTTTCCAGAATCCAGACTGCATGTCAACGAAGCCAGACCTACACCTAAACCTAGACCTCAAAAAAACGCACCATGTTCAACGAACTTGTAATTTGCTTCAATGTAGGCTCAATTATGCAAGCTACAGAAAATGTTTTCTCAACTTAGGGAATCAGTCAATGCAAAAAAAAAGGCAGAGTTAAACCTTACATTTGTGTGTCTTTCTCTGACTCTAAATACGTTCCAGCAAATAATAAGAAACACTTCCATAGACAAAACAGCCTCAATAAACTTTTCAACTCAAATCCCTGGAGCTCGCGCGCTCTTATCTTAAAAGTTGCAGAAGTAAAGTGAGAAGAATCCTGAAAAGACACACTGAAAATTTCATGGTGCAACAAGAAAACAAAACTTTAGAGGTGAATATGATAGTGTCAAAACAAGACTGTCTCGGCAGGCAAGCAGCTTTTTTAATATGTTACAAATGTTTTACTTTTTTAGGACCCTACCGTTGCTTATATCTGTCTTGAAGCCCAAACCCAACAAAAAATTTACCGGACTCGTGTTTTTTCAAGCTCCTAAAACTTGTTAAAAAGGAAAACCTTAAAACCGCAACTGAATTGGTCAAGGAATACATAAAAAACCCAAAAGATTTATAATAACATGAATCGTGTAAAGGACAGTAGAAACTTTTGTAAATAAAATACGAGTAAAACTTATATTTGTGTCATGTCTTGTTAGTTGTAGATTTATTCGATGATGGCAAAAAGAAAGTATGATGATGTGGAGGAAGAGGATAGTATCTCAGATGACCTATTAAATCAACATTATGACGAACTTGAAAAACAACAGTATGGTGGGGAAATATCTGACGATCAACTCAATGAATTGTATGATCAATTAGACCAACAACAATTGGATGCCCTCAATATAGACTTGGGTGTGGAACAATCTGGTGGTGCTCTCTTTAACTTTGAATTTCAAAATGCTGGATTCCAAAAAAATTGGAAAAAGACAGCGGATAAACAAAGATATGAGGCCACCCTAAAGCAGACACGAACTCCATCCCATGTCGGAAAATATCGGAAAAATTACAAATGCGTTAGCGAGGTAAGATTTTAAAAAATGTGTTGAAAAAAAGTTTCAGGGGATAGACTCTTATCGAAATTTATTTTGGGTTATTTTTTGGTCGATACGGAAACAAATTCAGCAAAAGAAAGGTTCATCTCATGACGCGTTCCATTTCACCTTACAATCAGATCAATTCACCCACGCCCAACAATCAGCCACATTCAAAGTAGAAGAAATCATGAAGAATTCAGAACACTTTAAAAAATTACATGACTACTATGGCCAATAAATTGAATTCAGAAGAATAGTTTAAATCCTCTTCTAAGTTTACCGCTGACCTTACCTTGATTCGAATGCCTAAAGGTGGTAAAAGTGGTAGACAAAAAGCTCTAGTGGGAAAGCGATCCATGGCAGAAGTTTAAAAACGAAACATTCCATGGTTCAAATTACAAATTCAGACAAATTGTGTTGTGCAAGAGCCATTTGTGTCGCAAAAGCATGGATCCATAAAGATGAGGGATATCGACAGAAAATCGATCACAAGAATGTAAAAAGATGTGAGACTGTTCAATCACGAATGGCTCATTAACTCCATGAAGATGCGGGGGTACCTTTGGGGGCATGCGGGCATGAAGAATTGAAAAAATTTCAAGACTTCCTAGCACCAAACTACCAATTGAAACTGATGGCAACTTCCTACCCCTACGTGATGGTATTTGTAGGCCCAAAAGCAACCCATATTATCCGCCTCTTGCTCCAGAAACACGACGACTCTGAGATTGGTCACTATGACACTTGCACATCTTATGCTGGTTTTCTAGAATGATCCTATTTTTTATCAGTGCAACAAGGGATTTGATCGTAATGACTTCAGACATCATCCATGTGAGGGTCGAAGATGTCATGCATGCAAGCAAGTAGAATGTGGCGCAAAACCTGATTATGCCTTACGTGAAGTACCCTGTTATTCTTTGTTGCTGAAAGTTTTACAGTCAGACATGTTATGACATGCATAAAGAGAAAAAGATCTGTGACAGCATTGTTCAATGCCCTATGTGTCGTAAGGAGTTTGAACCCTCAGCGTCAAAAGAACCTCACCAATGCTACTTTGACAAATGCTTCGTATGCCATGAATATGTAAAACTTACAGAACACAAATGCTTTATACAACCTGTGGCAGCCAAAGATCAAAGAAAGAAAAAACCAAAGCAACCCTGAAACACCACAGAAAAAAAAATCCCTTGGCCTCGGTGTGATGTTTTAAGTTTGTTTATTCTTTTTTATGGATTGCATTCTGTATCTTTCTTAGAGTAGTTTTTGTTCATTCCAGTTTCAAGTTCGGTCAATGCTCTTTCTACATACTTACAATAGGTTATATGATTGCTCTTTTACAAGGCATGCATCTTTTGATCACACATGCCTTAGACTTGGGTCTTGTTGTATATCTCTTTAAAATTAATAGTGGTGTGTCACCTATTTGCGAGTGCAGTTTTGACTCTGAATTGGTGAAGCACTTTTTCTTGTATTGTCCAAGGTATGCCGCTTAACGTGATGTCCTCCTTACCTCTGCTACTAATATTCTAGGTGAAACATGGTCATTGAGTACTGATGCTATGAAACAAAATTTCTTATTGTATGGTGTCGAGTCTGTAAATTATGATGTCAACTGTGCTTTTTTTTTGCAAAGTACAAAATTTTAATTCACACTTATTGCTTTTCTGAGGTCATTCCTTGATTGTTTAATTAATATATTCCTAGCTTAGTGTGTATAACTCCTTGTTATTGCAACCTGTGTGTGTTGTTTATGTGTCTGTTTGTGTGTAAGCCTGAATCAATAGATTTTATATTTCTAATATGGTGATTCCCTTCATTAAGCCTAGGTGCGTTTGGGGAAAACAATGAAAAATATATTTAAAAAAAAAGGAAATTAAAAAGCATTGGGGAAGCAATATATGCAACTTAACATGGAAAGTGCAAGGAAAACTTTGAAAAATCACTTAGTGGCATTCAAATGCTTGTCCCTGAAGCTGGTTTTCAAAAGAGGCCTTCACCTGCACAAAAGAGCTGTTTGATGCGAGTATAAGAGGTATACTGCTTTCCTGCTTCTGGTTTAGATCATATTCAACATGTAGACACCACAGAACAGTCATTGATGGTTGTGAATCATTGTTGTTACCAATATCATCAGGGGTGCCTCAGGGGTCCAATTTAGGACCACTTTTGTTTATAATTAATATGAATATGGCTCCTAAAGCTATACACTCAAGCACCACTGTACAACTGTATGCTAATGATATAAAATGCTTCAGAATCATTGATAACACCAATGTTTAACAACTACAAAGTGACCTGTCAAATCCAAATTGGTCAGCTGATCACTTCATGGAGTTTGGCTCAGAGTAAGGCAAATATCTTGCAATCACAAGGAAAAAGAATATTGTGAATTCAACCTATACACTTAATGGCTTGCAGATTATGTCAGTTATAACCGAGAAAGACCATGGTGTGCATGTTTCTACCAAGTTATCTTGGAATAATCACATTGATGTTATCATCAGTAAAGCCAACAAGATGCTGGGCATGATCAAAAGAACTTGTACCAATAAATGTGATCAGAAAACATTGATAATTTTATACAAATCCCTTGTTCAATCACAGCTGGAGTATGCTCCACAGGTCTGGTCACCTTACACTAAAGAAAAGATCATTGCACTTGAGCATGTAAAAAGACATGCAACTAAATTTATCCTGAAAACTGACTTAAGTTACCCTGAGAGACTTGTCAAACTGAAACTTTTACCTTTACAATATAGAAGAGAGATCAGGGTTCTCAGTTGAACCTGTAACCTGTAACCTGTAACCCATAACCCGTAACACCTGTCACGGGTGTCACAGGTAAGTGTTACGGCTGTCAAAGTGCTTCAACCTGTAGATCAATTCGTCTATCAAATGCAAATAAAAGAACGGTTTTTTGAGTAAATTGCTGGGTAAACTATTGACTGTTAGTTGCTTTCGCAATGTACCTTTCTTCGGTTTTAGTTGTCAAAGTGAATAGCCTTTTTGCAGACCATAGAATGACCGAACAATCGCTTCACGTCTCCGCAACGTTGAATTCGCCTTTGTCACGGCCCGCCATCTTGGATTACGTCATTGAATATTGTACATGAGGTCGAGGCCACGCGTGGTAAGTTCACAAACAAAATGGCGACTAGTAGCGATAGCGTTGAACTCGAATTTTGGCACAAAAATATAACAAAAATACCCAAAGTTACAAACTCTTTTGTTGAGGATTTTGCTGAGAAGAACCTACCGATCAAAGCCACTGTAACAAGAGGATATAAATTCTTTCACGAAGAATATATTCACGATATTGAAGGTGAGCCTCGTTGACCTCGTGGTAGCTTTCTTTGTTTGACTGTCTTTCCAATATTTTGTTTCTGTGCTCAGTGTTTTGAGTTTTAACTCTTTTTCTCGGTTTTTAACAGTAAAACTTTGCAAGGAAGAGGATTCAGGAGTAGTGGCTCGGGCTAAATGCTTCAGAAGTATGAAAAGAACGAAGATCCTCACACGTTGTCTGTTGTGTTCGAGAGCTCCTCTATTGAGGCTAGCATCAACAAGTATATGTGTAGTTGTGCTGCTGGACAAGGTCTTTGCCATCATGTTCTTGGATTGCTCTATACTCTTGCCCATTTCCAGCTATTAGGCTTAAAAAGTGTCCCGCCAATGGTTTCTAAAACATCAAAGGCACAGGTAAAATTTAATAATAATAATAATAGATTTGATGATAAACAATAAGAAAAAACAGTCATTAATGTATAGAGATTTGACTGTATCTTACCAATATTTTTCCTTAAAAACTCCTTTTAATCACACTGCTGTTTTTAAACATAACACAATAAGCAATTTTGAATTCATATAGTATATTTGTATATTATTTTTTTGCAGAGATGGCATATCCCCAGTCGTAAAGAGGGCATTAAAGCAAGGCCAGTGACAGATTTGATTATACAAAAGTCAAAGCCAAAAGATAAATTGCATGAACCTAAAACAGGGTTCGTACGGGTCATGGAAAACCTGGAAAGTCATGGAATTTCGAAAAAAAAATTCCAGGCCTGGAAAGTCATGGAATTTCGATCAGAGTCATGGAAAGTCATGGAAAATTGTTATAATTTGACATTTTGCAAAAACCGAGATGAAAATAAAGAAAATTCCTTGCTTTCACAAGTTTTTGTTTAATAAACTATTCCTTGTTTACGTGTTTGCAACGACAAACGCGCATTTTTCCCCCGATACCGTGTGATACGTTTTTGCTGAGACCTGGGGCCGAGTCCCAGCATCGCCATGCGACCAGGCCTGCCACGAGGTAAAGATGAGCTTGAGCGATCATTCAAGCAGATTTAATATATAATGCCTGGAAAATGCAAATTCCAAGATGCTTGGCTGAGTAACCCGCAGTATAATAAGTGGATAGAACGCGGGAGTTCTTCGTCAGAGGCAAAATGTAAAGCATGCAAAAAGACATTCGCTGTTCAAAATATGGGAGAAGCAGCAGTGAAAAGCCACATGAAATCGAAGAAGCACGTCGATGCTGTTAAAGGTACGTTTGTGTGTTCAAATTTGAATTTACTAGAATTTAAAGTTTGCATCAAGACAAGAAAATGCATGTTTGCGTTAGATATTTGTCTCGATATTTGTACCAACTCGTGATTCATTTAGGATGCAGCCTGTATTGGGTATAACATAGATTTAAGTGCTGTGGTGTAATAAGAATCGGCAAAATAATCAAACAGAACAAAAGAATTTGTCATCTAAAGCGACAGAATATAAATAAATGTCTTTTTAATTTCGGGATGACAAAGATAATGCATGGATTGTACCGATGTTTAGGCAAGAGTGTTCTTTTGAGTTTTTGAGAGGCTGCAGGGGGGGGGGGGGGGGTGGTTGGGGGCCGGTGGGACTAAACTCGGAGGTATATTAAATTTCAGATATAAAGTTAATGTATTATGAGGGACTAGCAAAACGGCCATTTCATATTTTTTTATTTAGCGCATCTTTATTTATTAATACAAAATTTATACAATAGTTAATACTATGCGATACAACACTAATACACTAAAAGTGAGTTTTTATTTTTCCTTGACATTTGTGGCTCAGCATTGGGATTAATTATGGCTTCAGCCCCCCCTCCTTCAGTTCTGTTGTGGCGCCTGTAAAATATGGTTTATTTTTATAAGTGGATTGCAATTTCGATGAGGCTATTGTGAAATTTTGAGATTCCAGGATTTCTGTGACAGTAAATTCATTTAATTAGGGCTCATTTTTGACGATATTCATAAACAAACATTTTTTAATTTGATTTTAGACGAGAGTAGCAATGCCAGCCTCAGAAACTTTTTACCTGCTGTTGGAAGCCAGCGTGGTTCACATGAAGTAGGACGCTCTGAACAGCCATGTTCTTCCGGTGCCGGTGATATAAGAAATTATGTGGCTTCAAATGAGACACTTGCTGCAGAAGTTTTGTGGGCACTGAAAGTAATCTTGTCTCACTATAGTTACAAGAGCTGTGAGGACATTCCAGAACTATTTAAACGTATGTTTCCGGACAGCCAGATAGCCAGCAAGTTTTCCTGTGGCGAGAAAAAATGTGCTTACTTAGCTTGTTTTGGCATAGCACCCTATTTCCAACGTAAGCTTACGGATGAAGTCACAAAACTTGAATTGTTTGTTTTACTTTTTGATGAATCGCACAATAAAGTTACCCAAACCAAGCAGATGGATCTGCATGTTAGGTTTTGGGATGCAAAAAACTCCAGAGTGCAGACAAGGTACCTAACCTCTGTATTTCTGGGACATGCTACAGCCGACGACCTTTTGGAAAAGATCGTTAGCTACCTTGATAGTATCAAGATTCAGAAGTCCAACATATTGCAGTTGTCAATGGACGGGCCTAACGTGAATTGGAAACTGCATGAGCTATTCCAGGAACTGATCTCTGAGGTTGACGAAAACGCACCCATCTTAGTTAACGTAGGCTCTTGTGGACTTCACATTGTACACAATGCTTTCAAAGCTGGATCAAAGGCATCTACTTGGAGCATTCAGGAAGTTCTGTCTTCTCTTCATTGGTTATTTGTGGATTCACCAGCACGAAGAGAGGATTACACAGAAATAACCAGCAGTGTTGTATTTCCAATTAAGTACTGCAAGCACAGATGGCTGGAGAACCTGCCAGTTGTAGTACGGGCCCAGGAAATATGGAAAGAAGTCACTTTCTATGTGACAACGGTGCAACGTAGCAGCAAATATAGTGTGCCAACTTCAAAGTCCTACAAGACGATAAGAGATTCAACCCAAGATCCACTAATGCCTCTCAAATTTGCTGCTTTTGAGTCAGTGGCTAAACAGCTGCAACCATTTCTGGTACAGTTCCAAAGCGACAGCCCTCTTCTACCATTTGTGGCCAGCAGTCTAGAGAAGGTGATTCGTGGTCTCATGAAAAGGTTCGTCAAAGCTGATGTACTCCAGGGTGCCAGCTCTGCAGTAAAGCTTCTGAAGATTGACTTCAAGAAGAGGGAGAATTGCCTTGACGTGGAGAAGTTGGATGTTGGTTTTGTTGCTGCCACGAAGCTGAAAGAATTGCAAGCAGCCAAGAAAATCAGTGATCGTCAGACATATGAATTTAGGAAGGAATTCCAGTCGTTCCTTACAGCTACAGTTGGAAAACTTATTGAGAAGACCCCAATTGCCTATTCCCTTGCCAGGAACCTGTGCTGTTTGGATCCGATTCATATTGTGACAGAGAAAGAAGCAAGCTGTGCGAGGTTCAAGATTGTCCTCAAGAAATTGGTAGAATGCAAGAGGGTTGATATTCATGATTGTGACATTTTGTTGTCACAGTACAGTGAATTTACGGAACGGGCTACACAGGTGCACAAGTCTGAGTTTGAAGACTTTGACTTTACAGATCAGAGATTGGATGCATTTCTCCAAAAACACATTGGTCTTGTCGGTTCACTTTCCAAACTGTGGGACGTTGTGAAATTCCTCTTGTGTCTCTCACATGGGCAAGCAAGTGTAGAAAGGGGATTTTCCGTTAACCGACAGCTAATGATTGAGAATATGAAGGAGACCACTTTCGTTGCCCAACGCACCATTCATGACCACATATTGAGTATTGATGGATTTCATAAATTGGTCATTTCGAACGAGCTTCTTACCTCTGCTAAAGCAGGAAGACAGCGGTATCACGCCCATCTTGAAGAGCAGCGACAGCTTGCGAAAAATGTTGCCAAAAGCCACAAACGAAAATCTGTGGATGAAGCAAAAGCTGATTTCAGAAGAAAAAAGAAGAGACTTGAAACAGAGATCACCACCTTACAGTTTGATGCTGACAAATTAGCTAAAGAGGCTGAGGTGAAGAGGCAGCTCGTCTTGTTAACCGAATCAAATGCACTCAGAAATGCAGCAAAGGAGAAGAAGATAGAACTAGAAAACTTAAACAAGGAATTGGAAGAGTGTGATAAATAAGTCCGAGTGACAACCTGTCCAAAAGTACTGCTTTCTTGAAGTTATTTACCAGAATTGCAAGCATTTAACCATTGAACAAATAGATTTGTTCATACAAGGATGCACTCATATATTTTTCTATATTGTAGATGAAAACTGAAACCTCATACTGCAATTGTGAACACTGAAACAATGACTGTATTGTAAGGAAATTAAGATTTTATAGTTCTGGGCTGTACAGGTTTTGTTAGGAAATTAAGTCTGGATTATACAGTTTTTGTTACGAAATTTTAAAAGATATAGTTCTGGATTGTACAGATTTTGTTAGGAAATTAAGTCTGCATTGTATAGATTTTGTTAGGAAATTTTAATAGATATAGTTCTGGACTGTACAGTTTTATAAGGAAATTTTAAAAGATATAGTTCTGGACTGTAAAGTTTATCTTAGGAAATTTAAAAGATATAGTTCTGGACTGTAAAGTTTAGTAAAAAGTATCTGTTTACGTCGTGTTGTTGCACTTGTGTCATTTTGTTGCACGGAAATAAAGATTCCGTGTTATACGTATGAATTTAACTGGTCTTAGCATCTTCTTCTTTTCTACAATTTGGTTAACATGCAAGGAAAAAACGAATTGATGGTACTGTAAGTATATATTGAGAAAAATAATTTGAACAATTGGGTCATGGAAAATCGGAAAAGGTCATGGAAAAAGTCATGGAAAGTCATGGAATGTCAGAAAGTCAAAAGCGTACGAACCATGTAAAAAGAAGAGAAAGGTGTGTGGTGTGGCAAGCACGATCTACAAACCCTTCCAGCAATCATTAAGTAGCCTTGACTTGACTAGTGTGCTGTCGCCACAGTTTGAAAATCTCAACAATCAACCTGGATTTATGAGAATATGGGAAGATGAACAAAGTGAGCCTCCAATTTTAGTAGACTCGGCCTTTGGAAAGGTGCCAAAAGGCTGTGTCATAAGCTATCAACAGCCATTGAAAGTTAAGAGCAATATTAACATACAGCTACCTGCATTCAACTTTCCATCTTTAAGCTATCCAGATACAGTGCTCAATGAAAAACAAGACCTTTTCTTCAGCTCCCTTGCAATATCAGGTCAACAGTCTATTGACTTTGAAATGGAGACAAGGGAACAGTCAACTACAACAGCATGGCATGAACTAAGGAAGTTTAGGCTTACAGCTTCAAATTTCAAAGATATATGCTCAAGAAGAAAAGACCATGAAATCCTTTCTACGCGTTTACTAAAGGGAAAAGTAATCCAAACTGCAGCCATGAAATATGGGATACAAAATGAGGGGGTAGCTGCTGATATGTACAAAACACAGTTTGGCAGAGACACTCACCTAGTAGGTTTTCTTATAAACCCATGTCTCCCACACCTAGGCTGTAGCCCAGACAGAAGAGTGTTTGACGACACTGAACAACATCCATGGGGCCTGATAGAAATAAAGTGCTCTCCAGCAAGTCATCTGGATAACCTTCAGTATTTAAAGTTTAATGAACGAAATGGGTCATATTCATTGAAGAAGACACACAAGTATTATTATCAAGTTATGGGATGCCTTGGTTTAACAGGAAGTCAGTGGTGCGATTTCTTTGTTTACTGCAAGGACGAATTTCACTGTGAACGAGTATATTTTGATGAACTTCTCTTTTCTGAAATGCTGGACAAACTGAATTTATTTTTTTTTTGATTATCACCTGAATACATGTGTTCAATAATTTATTGTATGTCTCTTATACAAAATAACTTCGTGCCAAAGTAACAAGCTAATTGTGTGTGACAAAGTTTGGTGGGAAGTGGAGTAAAGACATTTGAATCAGCATTCTTAAAATGTTAAAATGTAACAAGTCAAACCTAATTAGACTCAGAACTTGTTCTAGTAATTATCATTACACAGCTGTTTGCAGAAATTATTGCCACAACTTTAAAAACATTGGGTTCATGATTGGTAATTTAATAGTTTTTGTATTTTTTCCAAAAATACAATACTTATGATAATTCAGTTTCATTTAAGCCTATATGTCTGTAATATATTGTAAGCGCCATAATTTTTTACAAACAGCTGTACATATTTCATTGTTTATCATGCATTCAAATACTGTGACTAAGTTGGGTGTATTTCAAGCCATTTAATAGTTTTTTTACTGTTATTAAACAGAACATTCTGTACAAACATGATAAATAAAAATACATGAATGACTTCAACAGGTTTTGTATTTAAACCCCAAAAGGGCATTTTATAATATTTGGCAATAATGAAATTTGTGAATAAATGTAAAGTTATTAAATTCATAATTTTTTTTTCCAAAAGCTAGTTTGAAAGCTTGCATTGAATCTGTAAAACAAAAATAGTACTAACAATATAATTTTTACTGATTTTACTGTTTATTTTAATGCCTAACCAATATGCCATGTACATACGAAAAGGGTGCCCCTAGGGGATAGGGCCACCCTACTATTCACCCTTCCACATCACATGTTAACAGATGGCATAGTTCTTACCTAGGTTGGACCTAATACGTAGTGTACCCTCACTCAATGTCAACTAACTCTTAGTTGTTAAAAGTTGTTAGTACTATTTGTATTACAGATCCTTACATACTTTACTTTAAATGATGCTTACTCTTCCATCTATTTTACAACAATTGTATACATATTTAGATATATTGCTTTTCATGCAACAAAGGCCCTGGAAATTGGTAATAAGACATGCCACTGTCCATATTTGATTAATGCTGCCAGCTACTGTAAGAGGTATAACTTTATCAAAATAGTGAAACTCTTTCACCCTTCTTATGGCCCTTTCCACATGGACTCTTAAATTATGTATCTGTTTACTGGTTGAAAGTTCTTTCTTTGAAAATTGACCCTTACTTGACAAAAAGGCAGGCATTGCTACTCCACAACCTATTGGCTTTAATAGATCCTCTATAGTAAATCCTTTATCAGCCATTATTTGATCACCTGGCTCAAGTAAATTCAACAAACCTGATTGCTTAACAAGCTCCTTGTCAGAAATACTTCCTTCAAAAAGAGAACTTACATGAATAATTTCCCCAGATGGAGATATTACAACATTGCCTTTGTAAGTTGTGTGGCTCTTATATGATGAATAGCAATTGCTATTCAAAACCATACTAGATGGTGCTTGTACCTTGATCTCTGAGGCATCAATAATACCACGGCATTTAGGATATAACAATTTAAAACACTTAGGCATATGTTTGTCAATTTTTGCCCGAGAGGGCCATATAGGAATGGTTCCCAAAACAAAATAGTGAAAGTTAACCCAAGAAATAAAAACTCTACTCACAGTTGAAATAGAAATATCAAATTCACTGGCTAGTTTCTCATTAAAAGTACCCAGCCTCAGCTTAGTAATGCATAAATAAAACTGATCAAATAAGCTAAGTTTGCATGTCTTGAGAGTGTCTCTCATGTTACTTATATCTTTCCCACTTTTTTGCTCGTGCTCTCTGTACTTGGGACCATGAAAACATACTTTCAGCTGTGGGTCTAAGGGCATTGAAGGTACTCACAAAAATAGCAAATGACGAAAAGCCAGTATGGAATCTAACGCGTTTGTCTGACATCCCTTTCAGTTGTCTGTAAAAGATTGTTTTGAAAGCAGCTGTTCTAATTGTTCGATACGAGCTTGCGCTGCCTCAAGTAGCTCTTCTACAGGCTTTTCGGGTTCAGTAAATAAATAATCATGTAGGTTGACAGTAGGTGTTATGATTGTGGTGTCAGTAGTTACGGTGGAGTCCTCCATGTGGCTGCTAGTATCGATGACATTTTCGTCTACGCTTGAATCTTCGATGGGCCCAATTTCGACTGTGGGAATGTAGAAAATAACATGTTTAGAAATATTTAGGGCGGGCCTAAAGTACGATTTCATAAAAAAATAAATACCTGTAGAGGAGATTGGCTGTATATTATCCACGACATCAATCTCGGTTGTGTTAGTACGTGTTGTGCATTCGCGTTTCGTTGGTGACTTTCGTTTCTTTGATAAAGTTGTCCATTCAAAACGGATGGTACAGCACCATTAACGAGTACACTTTTTCCTGTTAGCGTTTTTTTTATATCTGTGGGTTTAAAATGATCAGAGCAAACTCTTGTACTGTTGGTTATCTGAAAGATATCGGAAAAAATATAAGGTTTGCTATATAAACAACGCTGAAACGACGCTAAACTGAACTATGATATATAAAAGGCCATTTACCTTGAAGGACCGGCCGACATCACGCTTAATTTTTATAATCCACTGTCTTCTTAAGTCTTTGTCTTTCGGGAATTGATGAAAGGTTATATTAGACTGCACTTTTGATCTATTGTTATTGCACTTAGGAACACAACAGTGATCTTTGTTCCGCATGATCGCTCGAGTGTTCAGTGTGTCAAGAACCACGCGTGACCTCGTTTTCATGCCAAAAAGCATTACGTCATTTTCAAGATGGCGATACCGTGACAAAGGCGAATATGGCCGCCATATTGAATTTGTAAATTTGAACCCAGGCCTCTCGCAGATGTCGTCTTTCCACGTGCAAAAACATGGCCGCTGCAAAGCGAAAGGCCGACCAGCCGGGGATACTGAACTTTTTCGCAAAGTAAGTGTCATAGTATGTTCAAAAGAGATTTAAAAGAGACCAGTTTCATCTATTTACTTTCGAGACCTCGCTTTAATAGTGAAATTGTTTGAGGAGGGTATCGTCGGTGTCCTGTCACGCTGTAAACCGGTGTAAAGGTCGTTCCGGTTTACCGGTTTGAAGTAAGCATTGCTAACTCATGTTTGGTGACCTTTCTCAAGAAGCAGCAAGTTACATTTTGCAAGTAAAACGTCGGGGATTAGAAAAAATAAACACTGCCTGTAGCGACAAATTTAGTTGGTCTGTTCAACAAAATTAACACTGTACACAGGAAGAGTAAATTCTGTAAATTTAATTAGTATTCCAGACTTTGTGGCACTAACTGTTCGCACAATGGCAATTTTATTTTTATACAACAAAAAGTTAATTGAGGATATAGTGAAAGTTCAAAACAAGACAGAAACTAACACTAATATAGTTCAAAAAGTATTTTATTACAGCTTTTTAAAACTATTTGTAAAATAATTTTTACAGGACCTCTAGGCAAACTGAAGCATTAGCTGTTGGCACAAATGATGTTTCTAAAAATATAGAGGTCAATGACAAATCATCAGCTTCAAACCCCTTGTCAAAACGTCCCCCAAGCAACAACTGTCCATCGGAAATCCCTCAAGAAGAAATCCTATCATCACTGTCCAGGTTGGATAAGCAGAAGGGGCAAATACACACGTATTATACATGCAAAGAGAAAAACTGCCATTCTCTTTCAGATCCTTCAGGTGGTGCGTTTAAGTTTAACAAAGCTTCTACGGCCTCGGGAAGTCAAATTCACAAATTTCAGCATGGATGGTTGTTCCAAAGATCTGAAAACCATGATGTCTATGAGCCTTCTACTGGAGTTTGGTGGCTGGCCTTCCAAGAAAATGTTGGGATGTTTTGTTTGCTGTGCAGACTCCATGATACATGTACGAAAAGAAACAAGGACTACACGTGGAACACCAAACCATGTGTTAGAATGATAACTCAAGCCATTCAGCTGCACTTCAATAGTGACATGCACCGTTCTGCAATTGAAAAGGAGCATCTCAAGCAAATTTCCCCTTTCCAGAAAGAGCATGAATCAAGGAAGCAATGTGAAAATGAAGTATTGAACAAAGTCTTTATGTCCATCTACTGGTTGGCAAAAGAAGAGATTTCTAACACAAAACTTTTGTCCCTTTAAAACTTGATGGAACGGGCAGGTTTACAAAACCTCAAACATTTTACATATACTGGAGAAGGTACACTGCAAGAAATGTTTCTCATTCTAGGGCAAGTTCTGAAGGACAGAGTAACTGAAAGAGTGAATAAGTCCAAATTTTTTGGCTGTCTTGTTGATGAAGTGACAGACGTTTCTGTTCTTCAACAGTTTGTCACTTTTGTTAAGTACATCCATGAGGGGAAAAGCAGGACTGAAGTTTTGCACACAGAACATCTGTCTGAAGCTAAAGGTAAAGCACTTGCAGAATCCCTTGAAGGTATCCTGAAAAAATGTTCTCTTGACATTTCGAAGATCAAGTCTTGTGTTTCTGATGGGGCCAATGTAATGCTTGGGGCACATAATGGAATGGTCGCACACATCCGAAAGAAAGTCCCTGACCTTGTTAACATTCACTGTGTGTGTCACCGGTTGGCATTGGCGTTTGTCGACACGTGCTAAGAACTGACGTACTTGCTGACCGTGGAAAGATTGCTGAATCAAGTGTGGAAATTTCATGACTACTCTCCTAAGAAAACGGCCAAGTTAGTGATGGTACAAATGGAACTTCTTAAGCTCCTTCCAACTGAGCAAATGGCGCAGGCCAAGAAGGGAGTAAAGAAAGCCAAGAAAGCAGCAGCAACCAGATAGCTTTCACACAAGGCTTCAGTGGAATCTATGAAGCAAGAGTTTGTGGCGCATATTACTGTGTTTGATTTCTTTAAAGAATCAGATGCAACAGCATGTGGTTTGTTAACCCAGACTCGGAATCACAAGTTTATTGGTGCAATTTACATCATGGATGCTGTTTTGCCTCCCCTGGCGATCCTCAGCAAAGCTTTTCAATTTGGGGAAATTAGTTTTGATGCAATTCCTTCAGCAATTTCTGCCTGTATAGCAAAGTTGGATAAAGTTGTGAGTGAGAAAGATGAAATCCTTTCCCAGTTAAGCCAGGATATGGAGGAGAATGGCAAGTTTGGAATGATCGAGCTATCACCTAATGATGCAACTACGCAGTTCCTGAGTCGTCTCTGCGTTTCCTATGTAGAGAACCTTAAGAAGAACATCTCTAGTCGTTTCCCCAACATCCCACTCATAGCTGCTTTCTCGATCTTTAATCCAGAGGCCATCCCTGAAAGGAATTCACCAGAGTTCAAAAGATATGGTGAGGAAAAGCTGGCCAAACTGGCAGACCACTTCAGCTCTACATTGGATACTGAAAGGTTAAAATCAGAATGGGATCACTTCAAGTTCATGGCTCTAGAGATAAAGCAGGAGTATTCAACTGTCAGCACAATGCTCAAAACCACGCCAACTGAATGGCTTCTTTCAAAGCTGACAAGTTCAAAGTCCTACAGCTTCATGTTTCCAAACCTTGTCTCGCTAGAAGAATTGGCACAGAACATACCTGTCACCAATGCCTGGCCCGAGAGAGGAGGCAGTGCAATTAAACGTATTAAAACAAGGCTAAGAAACAGGCTCGCAGACAAGATGCTCGACAGCTTGCTACACTTATCGATCAATGCACCACCTCCTGGCTCAGATGAAGCTTCTGCCATCATACAGGAAGCTTCAACAAGGTTTGTAGCAGCGAAAGAGAGAAGGAAGCTACCTAGCAGACAAGACGTGCAAGAAAGTGAAACAGAAGCTGGTGCTTCAAGTGTAGATCAGAATCGATCTAGTAGAACTGAACTAGAAGTAAGGGTACAGCAACTTGAAGATCAACTGGAGGTCGAAATGATTCGTGCTGATCACAGCACGCTACTGTTGAAGAATATGCTTCTGCAGTTCTGTCATACTGGATGCGAGAGTGAGCAAGAGGATGGGACAGATGAGAGTGATGATGACAGTTAAAACAGTAAACAAATCACTGTAAATAGTAACAAAGAAAGTGAAGAACACAGTAAATCACTGCCGTTGTGGAGAAGAGTTAGATCAAAGTTGTTGTTCGGATTCATTCATTAACAAATATTTGTGCTATCTTATACTCTTTCTCATTTAGATATATAGCAGTTACTGGGTCAGTGTGGCCTTGAGAATTAGTTTTTGTAAGTGGGTGCCCCCATTTGGAGAGGACTGCTTACCTAATAATTATTTTTGTATAAAATGTCAAACTGACAGTGCTGTTCACCTTAACCTTTGTCAGTCTTACAGTTCAAGGCAAGTCCAGTGAATACCCTGTCCTTTGAAACCTTTGAAGAGGCAAAGGAGAGAGGTAAAACGACCCCACTAGAGGTCAAGGAGCAATCTTACACAACTTCAGCTGATAACATAGAAAGAAAGTTGGACCAGCTATCATGGCCTGATGGTCCTCCAAACTGGTCAAAAAAAGCCAGATTGTACAATATCAAAAGCAAGGGAAGTGATTTGACATCTGGCAAACAAGGGCAATTAGTCAAGGCCTTTTCAAAGTCAAAAAAAGTCCACATGGCCTGATTTGAGCCCCCATCAGAGGTTCATCTTAATTCAGAGAATGGCTCTTACAGGTGAAAAAAGTGGTAAATTTGTAACTAAGCCGACCATATTACATCTCTGAAATATCATTGGCGAAAGAAATTATGTCTTTGGATTGAAAGAAATTTGATTTAGTAATTAAAGAATGATGAGATTTAGGAGTTAAAATTTAAAATTTAGAAGTACTAGCAATATGGCTGATTATCATTTTCTACTGTTTAATTTGACTATGAATTAGAAAAACATTAGAAGAAGTAGGCCTAAAGCGACAAGAACACATACAAAAGTCTAAGTCACGTTAATGATGAGTATAATAATACTTACATGGGTTTTCATCATTTCCCTCGCCTCCTGTAACAAAAGGTTTAGATTAATTTTCCAGGATTCAGGGTACCCAGAGCTGTGAGGAAGCAAAAGGGAGGAGAAATTTCCGTGCCTGAGATGCAATCAAGTAAACAACTCAAGCAAAGCTTCCATGAGGGAATAGAGAGTGGCAATTTTGACATAAAAGAGCTAGTGATAGAAAGAGAGATCACCAAATTGACTATAAATGCACAGGGAGAGATAGAGCACAAGAAATACCACTTGCAAGCAAGAAAAATTCACCACCACGACATTTGCAAAGAAGCCTTAATTAAAAACAAAGACCTCCTTCAAATAAAAATGATGCTTTTTATGAAGAGCTCAGTGAAAGTGAGATTGGTGCAGAGCTAAAGAAGATCAGTGAGGATATAAGGGAACATATGATGAAATCAAACAAAGGCTGACATGCTTTCAGTGGAAGAGGCATTAGCTGATTTGGCATGACCATTTAACCTTTTTGAATTATGGTCACATGCTCTTTTGTGTCAGAGAGATGTATGACCCAGAAATTCATCTCTCTGATGCAGAAGCTAGATTTCAAAATGAAAAGATGTGGATGTCCAGGCAACAGTGGAGAGGCCCTATCTGTATATACTGTTTGCTCCAGCTGGACATGATGCTTTACTAAATTTAACCAAACAAAAAAGAGGAGGATGTTGAAGTAGAAGATAAGATGAGATTCATAAATGGAGACAACCTCCCCATAAACTTTAACTGGGGAAATCAGCATAGAAGGCATTATGATTGCCCAGATTGTGATGGGCATTTAAGCATGCGCCACAATCTAAATTACATGGCTCCAAGAAAGTAAATAACATTGACCCAACGGCAACAACTGCTGTTAGCAGGAAGAAAAGGAAAGGAGGCAAAGCAACTCTTGAACCCATTTAAAGATCTGAAGGTCAACGAGCTATGAGCTGAAATTCAAGCAGAGGACAAGGAGATTCAAACAAAACCAAACCAGAACTTGCATACACTTTAAATGAAGAACTTGGAGGGGACACAAGAATTCCAGCACTGTTGTTTGGGGATGAGAGTGTTATTGTGGAAGGTCTCAACCTCCAGTCCTACGAGGTACTGTATTTTGAAGCTCTTCACTGCTCCATGAATCACATAAAAAACATTCTGGAAGAAATCCCTCATCACATTTCTGACAATGATACACTGATAAAACTTAAAGAAATACTAGCTGTCCAACTTAACAAAGAGAAATCTTAGTTAAGAAAGCTTTGTTAAAATCCCAGCTACCAAAACTTATGACAACACTGGCAATAGGATTTCATTAAATTTCTGCCTTTCGAGCCACAGAGAAATAGATGAAGAATGTCATGATGGAAAAATACATGGAACAGAATCCACCAGTACAAGATCAGTCATTCAAAAGTGACAGGGAACCTGAAGAGGAAGCTGAAGATGCAGCTCTTTGGATTGATGAAGAAGATAGCAGGGAAAACCGGGAAAATCATCTGATCCCAAAACCACAACAGCTGAGTTTGAGTAAAACAATGCAAATTGATACAGGTGAACCCCTGGCTAAGAAGCCAAAGCTATATGAGGAATTTTTAGCATCAAGAAAAACAGCAAAGGCTCTTTCAGAGCTTCTTGGCACAACCAAAGATGTTATGTTATATGAAAAACTTTAAAAAATGCAACAAAAAATTCAAGCTCAAGATATCACAAAGAACAATTCTTAAATCATCTGGTACACATTTAAGTACAAGTTCTAAAAAAAATACACGGAAATAAATGAAGCAATTGTTGAGTGGTCAGCTAACTTCAAGAAAGTCTCCAATAAAATTCCCACAGAAAGCCACATGAAAAGAGATCCAGTTATAGCAAAAATATGGAGGAAAAATAAAGTTACCTCTAAGCTGCTGAAAATATGGAAGATCACCGTTCACCTTCCTTAATAAATACACCTTATTCAATGTTTCAACTTATAATACACGTTGATATTTTGTTATTTGTGTAATATTTTTCGAAGCCTTGAACTGTCAAAGAAAAAAATGAGCCACTGAGTAAAGTTAAACATCAAATAACAGATTTTATATTCGACCACTATTATTTCAGTTTTAATTTTTTTTCAGTTTAGTTTGCAAAACACATCCTAAGACCTTACATGTATCTAAACAGAAAATTATATACAATGTATACGTACAATTAAGACTACAGAGCTTTTATACTTTCTCTTGTGAACTAGGCTTGTAATGCTACCCACTAGAAGATAAGTCTCACTAAAAAATTAAAAGCATTTTGTAACAATTTTTTTTCTAGTTGTTAGTTCCCAGTTAACTTTCCATATTGAGACTTTTGTTAATAAGGCAATGGTTCACCTGATTTTTTTTTTAGAACAAAATCATAAATTCCTTTACATATATAATTTTAAATTCAGCTAACCAATGCTTTTTCTCTTACAAATGTCCTTTCATCTCAATGTTTGTAAGCTGGAACTTAACACAGGTTACGCTGATCAAAAGAAAGATTCTCTAACACAGTTCTATCCTCAAGGAGAATTTTATATTTTTCAAAACAATTTCAATTTCACACGCTTTGCCCAAAACATTTTGAATTAAAAAAACATGGAACTAAATTAACACCTACTAGGCAATAAAATAAATATGTAGCTTTCCTGTTGGTCAAAGAATGCAGAAAGCCTATCATGATCTGGTCTGAACTCAATCGAAGGATGCACAACAGATACAAGCAACACCTTTAAAAAAGTTAAAAAGGAAGCAGTGATAAAACAATTTCTTACCTCAATGTTCTTCCACACTTCTAACACAAACGAGCCTCAGAATACAAGAGAGTGACAGATTTTCTGAAATATCAATATGCAACAGTGTCCGCCAACTTAGCTGCCATTTTGAAATGTTTTTCCAAAGGTTTGATTGACTTTTATTATTAATATAAACATTTAAATTTAGTGCAATGGCCTCATAATCTAAGCTTGGCAACCAGAATGGCCTATTTATGGGACAAATTTTGCTATCTGTTAAAAATGTGGTCGACTTTAAAGTCAATAGATAAATCTAAATTTCTAGGGCACGTCCATCAACAGTTTTAAGTATTGCATTATGCCCTATTTATTCGCAAAGCAGATAGTACCAAGAGAAAATTATTTGGCATGTTGTAATTGTTAAGTAGATCATGGAAAAATTACAAAAGTTCTCTAAAGAATTGTTGAGGTGAAAAATTGGGCATTGCCGTAATATGAAAACTATAACATTCAGAACAAAGCTATTTTTCTTTTATTCAGTCATCTCAGCCCAAGAGCAGTCAGAAGCAGAAGCAGGAGCTCCTGCATTTGTTTAAATTCCACCTTCCATACCTAATCTAACAGTTAACACCAGCCAAAAAATGAGTTTCCAGAAAGAATCTGAGAAGCAAGGTGCCATAACGCCTCATTTGTTGCTGTAACCAATCCCCAATACATGATCCATATCAGAGACAGAGAGAAGATAGGAGATTCTTCACAATAGGTGGAGATCAAGAAATGAATGTTACTGATTCGAAGTGATATTCCAATCCTATTTTTCAATACACAGAGACAAAATATCACTGCAAAAAATAGGACTCTCGATTTGAGAAGGAACATTTCCTTACTCACTTATAAAGAGGAATATTACCTTGAAATAAGGTTTAGAACAATTAAAGTAAGGGTTTCAAGACTTGTGGAAAGGTATGTAACCTTATTATCAACAGAGCATTATCTAATTCAACTTAGAGAAAGTGTTAGGCTGTTTAAATTACACTTAAATTAAGAAAATGCAAAAATTAGGACTCTTGATTTAAGAAGCAACAGTTCCTTAATCACTTGTAGAAAGGGATATTACTTTGAAATAAGGTTAAGAATAATTAAAGTAAGGGTTTGAATACTTGTGGCAAGGTGTGTAACATTTTTATAAACAGAGCATAATCTAATTTTCCTTAGAAAAAGTGTTAGGCTGTTTAAATTATACCTAAATTAAGAGAATATCATATATGTGTTACTCAAATAAAGGTACATTTCTCATTATGACCCTTAAAGCAATTGTTACTCCCTTAGAAAGAGAATATAGAAATAAAAGGTCCTCAAAAAGGGTGATGATATATTCATAGCCTTAAATTGAGTGATTACTATTAAACCTGTTTTTAATTGTAGTAAGTAATTCCCTTAATGTAAGGTAAATCAAGTTTTTCAAAGTGTAATATTCAGAGCAACCTTTCAAAATTTTAAATCTTTAATGACAGTCATTTCAACTCCACAACCCAACAATGACCTTCAAGAGAAGTTTTGCTTGAGAAATTCACATTGTTGTTACCAAGGCCGCCCAATAAAATGTTCCACAGATTTAGCAAATAAAAATGGTGGAGTTTAACAATAGTTTTCCAACCAATTATCCTTGAAATCAAGTTGTACATTACAAATTAAAGGCAACAGATTTGTGGTCATTTTGGATAGCTTGTTAGAAAACTATTGTAAATCTCCACAATTCGCAGAAACTATCGTCTGGTGGCCTTGGTTAGAGTAGCAAACACTGTGAAACCATACATTAACAACAAAGTCATTCCAACTCAAATAACAAACTACATGTAGGTAACAGTTACAGTGAATCACATAAGTCAGTCACATCATACTTAGTGTTAATGTACATTTTTTGATCAAGTTCCCACTTGTGCAGTACTTCATGGCTTAGAAGGCTGTCAGGGGTAATGTACAATGCAGACATGGCCTGTCCTAGTTTGTCAATTTCATATGAATTAAGAGTATCATTGAGGGTAACTGTTTCAAGTTCAGCAACTCTGAAAATTACATCGGTACCATTTACTACAAGAAGATCACCAAAGACAGGGTTCTCATTTTCTGCTCGTAACAATAAACTACACTCAGGGATGTACTTTGTGCCATAAAGAGTTATTCATTTACAGTCGCAAATGTTAACAATCAATTCATCAGAAACTTGATAAATCAGGCAAAACTGTTGTTTGGCAAAATTATACTTTTCCCCTGTGAGGGGTGTCAAGGGCCCTTTTGCTAGGTTATTGAATAGGCCATGGCTATCTGGGTCGGCAAACTTTGCCATTATTGATCGTTGTTCACTCTTTGCAAGTGAAAGGGATATGTTTATAAAACTTGCATTTTTTGCAATTCTTTTAAAATCCTTGGGCTTTGCCTCAAATCGCATGTTCCAAAGTCTAACTAAAGGTCCACATAGTAGCATAAGTCTTGGACAGTGGACCAAGTAATGCATTTTTGGAGTTATCTGCTTATGGAAAACATTCTTAAAATTTGTCAGAAATTTAGCAGTCATTCTCTGTAGTAATGAGACAGATTCACAGCTTAATACTGGAGCCAGCAGTAGACTGGATATTTTCATAAGTAGCTGAAATACTTTAAAGGGCTTGTGACTTTCATCAATGATGTCATGGAGAATAAAAGGCAGAACTCGAAAAAGCATCCACATCTTTGCAGCATCTTTTGCAATGTGCTTTCCTGGTTTATCGGTCAAAGATTCAGGATTAATTGGTTCTGGTTTGTCTTTGACCTGTGAATATCCATATCGGAACTCCATTAACCATGAGTTTATAACATCAACAGTTATTGAACCCTTAGCAATATAATACTGAAGCATACATTTGACAACATATGGTATGACACCCTCCAGAAGGATGTGCATCAAATCTTGCGGTAATTGTTCAGTAATTTTAAATCCTGGAATTTTACTCAAAATGCTTCTCCTATCCAAACCATAGTTCACCGAATAATGTTTTGTGAGAGCTGGATTGTTTTCCATCCTTTCATACTGACTCGCTAAACGAGCCTCAGTTCTTAGAATGCATTCTTCTTCATGGACTATTTTTTGAATGTCATCTTGATTGGCTTCACAATGCCTACAACATTTCATGGCAAGTGAAACACCTTCTTTAAAGCCCCCGGCAAGGTTAGAAGCTGGAGTATCACCACAAAACACTGAAAGAGCACCCGTAATAGGAATGTTACTGTTGCCTACAGTGAAGTAGTATCCATCCTCAAGTATCTTCAAGTCATTCAGAAGAGGCTTCAATACTTCATCGAATCCATATTTCTTAAGATGGGCAGTTTTAACAACAGCTAAGAGGAAAATGGCATCCAGTTTGGAGCGTACCTCCTGCCTAAAATTTCCCAAGGTAAAATAGAAGAATGCTATTTTATGTTTGGTCACGCAACTCCCAGCACTGTTACAGAGGTCACAGTCATCATAGTAGAGGATAATTTGTAGAGCCTGTGCATCATTGGAAAATACCTCATGATTAGAAAACACAACACCATCAATAAAGTCTCCAAGTTTTCCATCATTTCTATACTGTGGTTGTTTTAGAACTTCCTCTCGTGACTTTTTTTTGTTTAGCAACACTGTCAATGTTTCTAGAATTGGAATGTAATAAAAGCAGTCTAACATCTCTTTGATTCTACGCTTGGCACTATGTGCCACAGGTTTAAGTGTTTTTCCTAGAACCACACATTTGGGCTCCTGAAAAAAAGAAAAAAAAGCTGAGCATGCACCATAAAATCTTCCCCTTCTCCCTTCCAGTTACAGCTTTTAACCCCTTCCCCCTATTCTCATTTATTTATAGCAAGTTATACTTGGAGAAAAAATTCCTTGCTATGATTACGATTACAAATGTAGAGGGAGTTTTACAGACATTAATGAGTGTCTTTCAGAAACATTTTTTGCCCCAGTTATTTCCTGCAAGACTAGTGATGATAATATATACAATGACATGGTGAGATAAGGGGTACCGTATTTACCCGTGTATAATGCGCGCCTGTGTATAATACGCACCCTAATTTTTGACCTCTTTTTTCCGAAAAAAAAAGATTTCATGACAAATACCAAGAATTAAAACTTCCATTTTTTCACTTAATTAACAAGAGCTGGGAATTCATCAATAATATGTTTACAACAATTTCTAACTAGTTGCTACTACAAATATCGAACGCACCGAGCACCTATTTACAAGCTTTTCTATTCAGTAACAGTCAAACGTTTTATGAATGTTGTAACTTGAAGTCCTTACTAATATACCTAAATTCACAACTTGAATTATTATCATAACAGCCGTTCATAAACATTATTTCTACTCACAGTACTGTTGGAAGCTTGAATATAATTACTGCATTGCAATTGCGTGATTTAAGTAAAATGTTCAGTGTCTTTAAACCGACTCACAGTCCGATTCGAATAGGTTTTCGATGACTGAATCCTCAAGTTCATCAGTGATCTCGGTTGAATTGTAAACCAATTCATCTTGTGATCCATTCGAATTGTTTGTGATCCCACACTTCAGAGAGAGGCAGCGATCATTTCTGATGGAATGCCTTCCTACGCTTGTGAAATATACGAACAGATCAGTTCCTCCGAAGCCTTTTTTTGTCGTCCAGTAAGTTCGTGAAGTCCATCAGCCATCCACTCCTTTCGGACTCCATCTCTAAATGGTTTGTTCAAAGATACATCGAGCGACTGGAGAAGGGAAGTTCGCGTTTGAAGGAAGTGTTCACAGTATCTGTCATGTGAGCTTCAAATGAGTCGTAAACAAGCAAGCTCTTTCTCCTCCCCAGGCCACCGATCCGTGCACTTTTACTCTTTTTGTTGCGTTTTTAACGTATGCAAATTAGGACGTGCTTGACAAACAATAGAATCCGTGTATAATACGCACCGCGATTTTGATGCTTGTTTTTATGGGAAAAAAAGTGCGCATTATACACGGGTAAATACGGTAACCTCTAACACATACCACATAGGGAAATGACGGCTTCATATGTTCCTCTTGGTGGTGTTGGGTTTCTAGTCCTTCAAATGGTGTGGTTTCCTCTTGCCATTTATCCTGAAAACTCTGTGATGCTGTAAGATCATTCTGTCCTTCTGAGTTTAGAAATTCCATTACCTTTCTTTTTAAATGCTGAATAGATTTCTTTAAAAGAGTTGTTGTACCCTCTACAACGTCATCAATCACAGATTGCGGAATTTTCGCTTTTTCCTTTAGTTGTAAAAGAAAAAGTGCTGCTTCTTTCTTCTTGTCATAACATTCTATGTCTTCTTGAACTGTATCCATGGTTTCAGACAAAGACTCATCGAAACCTGTTGTTGGAGCTGTTAGAGGGGTCTCTTCATATACAGGTGGATCAGATTCTTGTAGGTGATAATTTTATATTTACATCAAACATTGATTCAGGGTCTATAGAAGTGTAATGTATTATTCTAATAATAAGAGCTAAATAGAAAACACCATCACTGGGGATGACTTCCTTGAAATGGATGAGCGTGACTTTAAGGAGGTATTTCCACGATTGGCCCATCGCATGGTTGCCACAGGTCAGGAAATAGTCAGGGAAAAAAAAAAATTCAAGGTCAGGGAAAAGCCAGGGAATTTCACTTTGAGTCAGGGAAAATTTACGTCTTTGAAAAAAGTCAAGGAAAAGTGAAATTTTAAGAGTACTAATTTATTTACTGCCGTCTCAGTGGTGTTTTTGTATGGTCAATAATGCTAGCTGTCAATGTCAAGGTGAGTAACACAAGAATTTCATTCTCATATGTAGCCATTGTATTGCAATGAAGCATAGCTGAAGTAAAACAACATTATTTTAACAGTCCAGAACTGTTGTGATTTGGAAAGATGAGTAAGCAGACA